GAAAAGGAGCAAGCGCGACGAGCCGAGGTAAACGGTGCGGTGGGGGATAGAGGAGGAGCTCCATGCAGATTGGTGGGCTCTTCACGGCAGGAAATGGCTAAAGGTTCGGAAGAACAGCCGAGGGGGTAGGACGCTGGCTTGGGACTGGGGAGACTTGGGTGGGATTCCTGGCCCCTCAAGTAACATTTAATCTACCCCGTACTTCAGTCCCCATCAGTACAATAGGACTGAGCCCCCATCTGCCAAGGATCCATCTCCTGCTGTGAGATGCTCAGATACCCCGGTGCTGGAGAGAGATCTCCTGCCACTTCCCACCAGAGCTGGCCCGTCCATAGGATGGTTTGGGGCAGCCACACCAGGATGATGACCCCCTGCGCTCACCATAGCAGTGAGAGCCGGAGCAGCCTGCTCCGCTGTGCTGCCCATCTCTCCCAGCTCGCTGTGCTCCACCTCACCCTGGCACCGACAAGCCAGGTGCCCAGTCCCAGGGCAGTCCGGTTCCCGCTGCCATGGTGAAGCAGAAAGATGGGTGGCAGGGTGGAGTGGAGCAGGCTGCGTGGGGGGAGGCCTGACCCCTGCTACCGCCCCACGCCAGGTAATCCCCCGGCTCGTGTCACTTGGGGGAGGGGGTGTCGGGCAAGGAGTGCAATGGGGGATGGGAGGGATGGAGTGGGGGCAGGGCCTGCAGTGGGAGTGGCCTAGTGCATAGGGCATTTGCCTGGTGAATGCAGGGCGGTGAGCTTGAGTCCTGCCCACTCTTGGAGCAGCCGGACAGCCAACCCCAGTTTCCCCAGGGATGGAGCAGGCTCTGGCATTAGGAAGGCAGGATAAGGGATGCCCTGAAGGTAAGAGGGTGGGCCGGGGTCTGGAGTGGCTTAGTGGATAGGGCACTCACCTGGAGAGCACAGTGTGGTGGGTTCAAATCCCATCCAGGCAGCCACTGGGGGAGCTGCCCAGGGACCACCCTGCCTCCCACCCCAAAGAAGTCCTGGCTGCAGCCCATTGTTACCATAAAGGCTGTGCAGGGAAAACACAAGGCACCAGCTGAGTCCAGTAGCTGCAGCATGGGGCTGAGCTTGCAGCTTGGCTCAGTGACCTTTTGCTATCAGCTTGAGGGGGCTAATTCCCCCCCCCCCCACGCCTCCCGACAGCCAGCCCTCATCTCAGAACATAACCCGCATACAGAGAGTTAACCCTGAAGGGCCAGGGGGGAAAACCTCCCTTCAGTCTGAGATGGCCCCGTGGGACGGCAGAGTTTGCCCCTGCTTCTCAGGCAGCCGGCATTAACCTCTGGTGGAGGCAGGACCCCAGCCTCGCCAGGCCCTTACTCAGCTGCTGCCGAGCGGGGCCCCGACAAACACAGCTGAGTGGCTGCCTGCTTTGCACCTGTGACCCTTCGTCTCTCCCACCCCACAGGATCGCTCCCTCCAGGGCCCGAGCCACGTGGTGGGGTGGGTGGACCCCCAAGCACCATGGCGAGAATGCCTCCTCCCAACACCACGCGGAACAGACACTGCTCATTCTCCCGTGGCAGAACACAGCCTGCCCTTGGAGGCCAAAGCCACGTCGGACTCGCCAGGGCCACGGAAGAGCATTCCCAGTGGCACAGATGTGGCACAGGCAGGCAAGGCTGGAGAGAACGGAGTAGGAGGTTGGGGCTGCGGGGCTGCTGCCAGACAGGGGTATGAGGGATCCCCACAGCCCTTCAGAAGCAGAGGCCATGGCTGTATGGCTAATGGGCATCACCTTCTGCATCCACCGAGCCGCCCCACGGCAGTAAATCCCCTGGGGCCGCTGGCAGAGGGCAGGGTGCTCCTGACTGGCTTGCACGCGTGCGGGGACCTCAGCGTCGCTCTGCTCAGACATTTCACCCGCTCCCCCCACGTGGTGGCCATGACCTCGGTCGCCTGCTGCTACATGAAACTCACCACCCGGGAAGAGCCGACCCCCCCAGGCCTCGCTGCCCCGCCACCTTCCACCACCGGTTGTGAGTACGGCTA